TCTATATAAGATAATACAGTACAAACGTTTCGACCGCACGCGGTCTTCTTCAATATAGGAATTAAAAGTAGATGATCATAAGTGATTGTAAGTCGCAATTTTATCGCCGAATTAGTGCATGTCGTGTTAAGTCAAATTACAAAACGTCAGTATATTTCTTACGGATTGATCGCTCTATTGAGATGTTTGGCCGATCCCATAGATTTCATCGTTAGTATGCGGGAAATTATTGTTGTCATATCGGCCAAACATCTCAATAGAGCGATCAATCCGTAAGAAATATACTGACGTTTTGTAATTTGATTTAACACGACGATTTAACATGCACTAATTCGGCGATAAAATTGCGACTTACAATCACTTATGATCATCTACTTTTAATTCCTATACCGAAGAAGGCCGCGTGCGGTCGAAACGTTTGTAATATATTATTTTATATAGAATAAATACTTAGTTTATATCATCTAATAATGCTCGATTAGTTGGCCTTTTTATATACTAAATTATATATATATATATATATATATATATCTACGTCGAACGTTTCGCTGCTGATGAAACATCTCTATATAAAATATCGGTTACGCAACGTATTCACTTTGGAGACTCGTCTGAGATAATCTTGAAATGTTGGACCATCTGTTTTAAAAGTAGGTTGAAATAGTGTCTCGGCAAATGCGTCGATTCGTCGAAGGATGGAATGTTATAAACGCGCGCGTTATGTATCAACTCACACAACTTCCCCAAATAATAATTCGTTCGCTACGTCGTTCTCATCGACGTTGAAATTAACATTCCGTCCGTGACATCGAATCGAAGAGGACTGCGAGGGGACCATATCTTACGTAAGATGAGAAAATGTCCGTCGAAAAGAGAGATTGCGTCAACAAAATAAAACGCGAATGATGTGTCGAAGAGGGTGCAAATATTTTTCAGAATTTTTAAAAATGTCTCGCGCTTCAAATAAATAATTCAATTACACAACTATATATATATATATATATATATATATATATATATACATTATATCACATATCCACACACTACAAAATTAATTCAGCAATCATCCCTAAGAGAGGAAGAGGGATGAAGAGGAGAGGAAAAAAAGAGATTTCTTGTTAATCCCTCCATATTAACATTGTTTTCTTTTTGCTTAAAAAGAAGGCAGTCCTTTCGCCGTCCTCCCGCATTTCTATCTCCGAAATATATATTACACGAGAGTTGCTTGAGGAGCGAAGGGGAGGGTTGCTTGAGAACCGTCTGGTGATATCGCGGAAGGGAAGTTTCAGTTTTTTTAGAGGGAAGAAAAACGCCGTTTGATCGATACTTTGTAATGACGAGGACGATTATATTGACAACGACGACGATGACGACGTCGACGACGACGACGACGACGACGAAGAAGACAATGTCGCTAGAGGGAGGGGGATGAGAGAGCGTGCGTGGTGTGCTTCGTTTTGTTAATTTTTTCCAAAGTGTACATTAAAAATATCAGCTTTTACGCGACGACGGCTGTAAGATATAACAAAAAAAAAAATAGGGCTTTCCTTCGTTAAGCGAGGTAAGACGAGGTTTAACGTACTTTCTCCGAGGACGATACTGCCGTTACGTATTGTATAAAAGAAAAAAACTAAGTTAACTAATCGTATAAATGCACGAAAAATTTTCTTAAACGGATAGCAAACAAAAAAAGGGCTTTGTAGTGTCTCGATACTCTCGAATCATTAATCCTACGTCGTGAGATAATAAATAATGATATTAATGAAATAAAAAAAAATAAAATAATTAAATATGAAACAAAAATCCTAGAGCTGGGCTAAAGCATTGTAAAGTGTCAAGCTGCGGAGCCTGTCGGCCAGTATAAAATGAACAAGCAACTGCCATGGGTCATCAAGCTAGGTAGAAAACGTGCTAAGAATCCAATTTTAACAAGCTAGCTGTCGAAACACATTTAACAAAAAATAACGCGCGAAGGGGATCGTCCATTTAAAAAAATCTGCGTACGTATGCATGTATGTGAGTGTGTATGCGAATGTGTGTGTGTGTGTGTATGTATGTGTGCGTGCTCGCGCGTGTTTGTGCGGACACGCGGACCGGATGACGTGCGCGTGTTCACGCGCGTAAAACGCACGCGTGAATAGGCGCGCGCGCGCGCGCAAGACGAGACACGCGAGGAAACGCGAGAAACACAGAGAAGCTCCTCCGTTAAGAATATGACATTCATTACTACTTAACAGAATAATAAAAAAAAATAACAAGAGAAAAAAATATGAGTTATTTGCACAATATTATAAATAATTACTATGTTTACTACGATTATTAAATTAAAGAGCAAATAATAAGAGGATAAAAAAAAAACTGTTGTTAAATAATTAATACACACAAAAAGAGAGGGGGATGAGCGGAAAAAAGTAATAATAATTAAAAAACGATTTTAAGCTAACGATCGATATTGGGTCAATACGAAGATGAGATGGTGAGAAGATATGATATATGAAGAGAGAGAGGGGAGTGGATGATAAGAAGATGAGAGGTGGAAAAAAAAGGGAGGAGGATACGATTCGTTTGTTATCGATTAGTTAACGATCCTTACACATTATATTATTGTAATTATATAAAGTAAACGATTATTATCATAATAGTTACAATTAACAAGTTGTTACCGCTTTGTTATACATAATATAATTAATAATAAGATTAAAAAAAAGTAAGAGCGAATGCATCGTTGATTCGTCCTTTACTTATGTAGATACTAAAAATACGATCGACTCTATTGTTTTCAATGTCTTCACCGTATCTCTTCGTTTGCTACCCGATTTTATTTCGTTGTCGAAGATTCGGTATTGTCGGCTTACCTCGCCCGGCCACAATATACACACGTTTTACAGAGATATTTTCAATAAACGAAAAAGCTTAACACTCACACAGCAGTTGTACTCTTGTTTTACTCTTATTGTCCCCGTAAGAGATTTTTCTCATTATCGGTTTGATAGCGAAATGTGTGACAATGACAATGTTTGCATAAACATTGTCATAAACACATCTTATATTATCTAAAGGTTTTATTAATTGTTTTAGATATTTTTATCTCTAAAGGTTGAAAAACAAGGCATTTGGTTGATAAAATGCATATAGACTTGTGTAATCTAGCGCATGATATTGGAAAACAGATGACATTTCTTATTAAATCTCTTTTACCCTTTAATAAAAGACCGATTTTTGTAATGATAATTTTCTCACAGTTGTATAAAAAATATTTAATGGTATAAATAGATATAAAAAGAAATTAAGAGTCGTGACATTTCGAAACAAAATTATTCATCAAATCGTAAAAAATAAATTATACATATGCTGATTCGGTAATATATAAAGTATATATTTTATATTTTAAATTTAATTTTTGTAAGATGTTTTTTTTATTTCTTGTGATTTACTGTTTTGTGTAACTTTTTTCAAATATTGTCACACACGTATCCTACTGTCTGTAAAGGATTCTCTAGCACCTCTATTTTTTGGAGAAGCATGTGAAAAAGGGCAGGAAAAGAAATCATCGTCTTTAAAAAGGAAAACTAAGAGAAAGAAATTACGTTCTTTGTTTCATCTTGTTTATTTATCTGGCCTTCAATTTATTTTAAATTTAATTTTTCCAAGATAATTATATTTTTTTATTTCTTGCAATTTACTATTTTGTGTAATTCTTCCTAAATATTGTCACATGTACTTTAATGTCTATAGAGAATCTTCGTCTTTAAAAAAAGAAAACAAATAGAAAGCGAGATCCCGCTTTTATTTCGTCTTGCCTTATCTAGACTTCACCTAAGATTCAATCTATTTTAATTTAATTTTTTCAAAAAAATATATTCTTTTTTATTTCTTGTAATTTACTGTTTTGTGTAACTTTTTTAAAATATTGTTACACACGTATCCTAGTGTCTGTAGGGGATTTTTCAAGCATCTTTGTTCTCGAGAACCATGTGAAAAAGGAAAGGAATCTTCCTCTTTAAGAAAAGGAAAATAAAAAGAAAAAGAAATTTCGCACTTGTTTCGTCTTTTATCTATGGTTATCTGGATTTCACCTGAGGTTCAAGCTACTTTAAATTTAATTTTTCCTAAATATTATATTCTTTTTTATTTCTTGCAATTTTGTTTTGTGTAACTCTCTTTAAATATTATCACACAATAATCCTAGTGTCTTTTGGGGGATTTTCAAGCACCTATATATGTTTTGGAGAAGAACGTGAAAAAGGACAAGGAAAGGAATCTTCCTCTTTAAGAAAAGGAAAACGAGAAAGAGATTTCGCTCTTGTTTCGTCTTCCCAGATAGCACCATGTCCAAAATGCACCCATAAGACATTTTTAAGATGTTTTCAAGATGTCTTTGGGATATCATATCATAAGATTTCTTAAAGATGTCTTAAAGATTTCTTAATGATGACTTATGCGTGCATTTTAAACATGGTGCTATCTGGGTTTTGTCTGTTTATCTGAATATCACCTTGGGTTCGAGCTATTTTAAATTTAATTTTTCCTAAATATTCTATTCTTTTTTGGGATATCATATCTTTCCACCATACCATACCATTCTTTGGGATATCATATCATAAGATTTCTTAAAGATGTCTTAAAGATTTCTTAATGATGACTTATGCGTGCATTTTAGACATGGTGCTATCTGGGTTTTGTCTGTTTATCTGAATATCACCTTGGGTTCGAGCTATTTTAAATTTAATTTTTCCTAAATATTCTTTTTTATTTCTTACGATTTTTTGTCTTATGTAACTCCTTCGAAATATTGTCACACAGTAATTCTACTGTCTTTTAGTGGAAGGAATCTTCCTCTTTAAGAAAAGGCAAAGAAAAAGAGAAAGAGATTCCGTTCTCGTTTCTTTTGTCTGTTTACCTGCACCTGGGGTTCAATCTATTCTTGCTACGGTGTGTACGGTGGAAGGGATGAGCGGGTAATACACGTGACGCTATATCGGATTAACGCAGATGTATCCGTCCGTTCATCGTCATCGTGCGTTAGTCACGTAAAGCGCGCGGCGGCGCGTGGGTGCTCGCGCAAAGAAGCTTTACGCGAGGAGAGCGAGCGAGCTGAGCGAAGCATGGGTGGGGTCCAGAGAACGAATCGCTGTCTCGCCTCTCTCCTCGCGTCTCCTCGCAAGTCCGATACGAGCAGCAGCAGTCGTCGTCGTCGTCCTCCTCGTCCAGACCGTCGTGCCTTTTACGCGTGGCGGCGCGTTTCACACGACGTTCGACAAGCGATGGTCGTCCCGTCTCCTGCCGAGCGTCGACTATATACCTCATCCGTGGCGGACCTGTGCGAGAAGGATGGCTGTTTCGAGGTCACTCGGGCCTCCTTCTCGCCGGCGTTGAGAGAGCTGGCGAATCAGTGAAACTGGAGCAGCGAGAGACGTCGCGCCGAGGCGGACCTGGACGAGATTGTGCGCGCGACAAAATCGAGCTGTCAAGACCGTCCGCGAGGGAGGGAGAGACAGAAAGAGAGAGAGAGAGAGAGAGAGAGAGAGAGAAGTTGGTGTGCGGTTGCATCGCTGTCGTGTTTATCGGCGAGCTGGGGCGACGTCGACTCTGACCTCACTTATCGTGCTGCATTCGCAGCTGCAACGTCGTCGAGGCTTCAATGATAGAGATTCGCGGTGACTCATCATTCGCGACTTGGACCCTGGGTAGAGGAAGGAGAGTCTCGACGTGGATTTCGACATCGTGGAGGTTAGTGCACAGCAAGGTACGGCCGCGTATTTATAATCGTGACGAACGTGTAGCGAGTTTTTTTATCATCGAGGAGTTCTGACGTTTTCTAAGAATGTGGTCGAGTGAGTATTTTTCTTCTTTTTCGAACGGACATTCAACTGTGAAAAGTGTGTTTTATTTAATGAGAATGCAGGGGAAACGGTAGCATTGAGAGAACGAAAACAACCGTGGTCATTAATATTTAATGAATGTGTGTTCTTTGAATATATGAGAATATTTTTAAATATATATTTCATATAATTAAATACATATGTAATCATATCATATTAAATAGATATTTCACATATATATATTAAATGATCTCATATATTCATATATTTCATATATGGTTTTTTTATTTTTACATCCTTTTTGTAAATCATTGTGTAAATCAATACTAGTTCTTACGATTCAATTCAATTTTACAAAGTAATTTTAAAATTATTTATAATAATCTTTATTTTGGAAATAATATTATTAGAATTATTTCTATATTTCACATGTGACATATTATTATATATTCTAATTTTTGCAGGTATTTTAACGTCAAGGAGACTTGCTAATATTTGTAATGGAGAAAAAGGGGCTGCGCAAGAAGGACATATTGAGAATGGATGGTCTTCTGCCTCCTACTCGACGTCTGCCAGTTTGTGATGCAGTATCTAGTGCATCGGACAAGAAAAAGGAAAAGAAATGGTCCATAGGTGGTATCCTGCGTAGAATATCCTCAATAAAAGATTACGACAGTTCCTCTAATGACGAAGAGATTGTGTATTGCAACAGAAAGCCTAGAAAACCCACCAAGCTCAAGAGGCAACCCGATGATGTTGTTCTTCATACGTTAGAAAATCATTTAAAGCAGAAGATGACAGTTGACAGCAACGTCCGTCATTCGGCAGAGTCTCATCGAGATTCGCTGCATTCGCGTAGCAGTGACGGTTCGTTAGACGGTCTAGGCAAGAAGACTCGGAGGAACAAATTGAAAGCTCGTGCCGAAGCGAAGAGGGATCATCTGTGCGTCGAGAGCAGTTCCGACGAGGACAGTCGAAGGTCGAACAATTCGTTGAACAAAATTCATGGCGTGGACGGCGCGCAAAACGGCCAGAGAAACAGTATATGCAGTAGGAGAACGCGCGCTGCTCGAACGGAGCGTTACATCAAGCGCTTATCTCGCGACGAGGGCAACAACGGCACTTCTGATACTTCGAACGACCTGTATAGCAAAAGGTGTTCCTCGGAATATGCCGAAGACAAGCAGCGTGCGGCTTACGTCGACGCGAACGGATTGTGTCGGCCGCCCATACATCCTCGCCGATTCGCCGGGATGTATCCAAATTCGAATCGAACGCTTCAGTCGGTTCAGAGATCCTCCGCGGAGAGTCTGCGAGACGCGAATCATGCGGGTCTACCGAGTCCGGAGGAAATTTTCGTCGGCGATTATAGGAGATATTCCACCGGACAATACGTCACGGACTTGAATCAGAATAACGCTTATGGGAAGATTTCGCGGCATACCAGCGGGGAAGCTGGAAACTTCTTCACGTATCCCGCGAAGAACGCGTGCCATTATTCGGAACCGTTCGATCCTTACGTCATCGATCCTCGATCGATCGATCCGGATAGTCATCAGCCACCCGTGCCACCGCCGAGAGATCCCCGATATCGCATATTTGGTTACGGATACAGTTCCTATCCGACGAACAGACATCATAATGTGCCAAATTCCTTTAAGCAAGAGGACAAGACTAATGTAATCGCGAGGGAGATATCGAGGCCTGATTGGAGGAACTTTGGATCGAACAACGAGCTCGTGCAGCGCGATAAAGTGGAGCGTGAGATGGAAAATCCCAGAAATTCTCAAACAGAACTTCGCAATTCGCTCGAATGTATAAACAATAAATATAATTGCGGTCGTCATCGCGCGGACGAGTCGATTTACGAGGAAAGCGAAGCGATGAGATGTCGACGGAGAAACACTCGGAACGATCAGCTCAATTGCAACGACGCGAATTACGGCGCGTTGTACAAGGCCAAGAATAAATCAGCGAACATCTGCGAATCGAATAAACACGAAACGATTTCATCGCACGTGTCTGCCGCGTCATCCGGAAGATCTCTTTACGAGCAGCGTATTTCACGTTCCATTACACCGCCTAACGTCGATAATCGCGCTGAAAAGAGCCAGAGAACAGAAGACAACAGAGGGACGACGCCGAACGAGGAGGAGCTGGAGAACAAGCGAAGGAGCTCGAGAAACCTCGAGGAAGCTCTGTCCGAGCTGGAAGCGATATACAACAGCCTTCGTCTCGGCGACGAGGATCTGCTGGATCGCGCGGAACGTCGCAGCATGGAGGAGTTCAGTCTCAAGCAAGGTAAAAGCGACGCGGTGATCGCGATCGCTCCGGATTCACCGGACAGGACGAAGGACGATATGGCCTATCGAAGGATGCATCCCAAGGAGAGACCCACGTCGCTGTCGGACATCGCCGGACAATCGACATTATCCAACATCAGCTACCTCGTCGCCTCGCCGGTTCTCTCGCGACGAGATTCTGCGGACGATCTCGTGCGTTTACCGTCGATCTATCCGTCCCGTCGAGACGAGCCGGACGTCACGCGGGACGACGTGGTCTTTCGCAGTATAAATCACGCCAACAACACTCTCCGAGTAATCGATCCGCAACCGCCGTTCGGTATACCACTCGGACCGGTTACCGCAGCCACCGAGAGCGATTACCTGCACACGACGCCGACGAAACCGGAACAGCCGCGTTCGCCGTACATACCGCAATGCGAGCCCGACGTGGTCACGGATGACTTGGCTTACAGGGCCTTGAGAAAGGACGTCGCGCCAGCGACGTCGCGGAACATCGTTGCGGAGAACAGCCTGGACGTCGCGAAGGAGCAGCAGCGACCTGGCATCCGGAAGAAACGCGCCGTCAGATCTCTGTCGGCCAATCTTTACGGTCTGATCAACCACGATCGCATTCATTTGCGACGCGAGCCCAGCCTCGACGCCATCAAGGACGAGCCATCAAGGATGCAGCAGAACGTTGCGGCGAACAACTTGGCCGCGACGTACGAGCGACCGGAATATCTCAGACGGGTCGTGAGTGACGGCGAGTTATCGGATAACGACGCGGTGCGAAGGCGAGAGGAACCGATTACCACAGACGAGACCGATATCAACGGCAATCATCCGGCGGTGGGCGCGTATCGGAAGAAGCTTTGCGACTACGTGTCGCAGGCGAGTCCGAAGAAGGAGAAGGGGCCAAATATCGCGGACGCCATGCTGTCTTCGAAGACCATTTTGGACGATAAGTTTTGGCACGATTACTTACGCTCGGATTCCAACGCCCCGATGCCCGAGAACAGTCCCGGCAGCACGGAAACAGTCTTCACCGCGTACAGTCGCCTCTGCCAAGATCTAGTTAATTTGATAAAAGACGAGGACGGTGATGTGACGTTGCCGAACGATTCTACCGTCTCGCCGGCGTTCGATAAGTCGAAGGTCGACGACTTCGGGATCGACGAACCCTCCACGAGCATCCCTACACGTACTGTAAGTAGCCATTACTCGGGGCGTGCCAACGACGAGCAGAGTCCGACCGCGTTCTCGAGTTCTCTTACAAATTCCTCGAGGCCAACATCGGAATCTACGCCAGCGACCAGCAACCTTGATTTCTATCTTTGCGCGGTGGACGAGAATGTCGGGCTAATTGCGGCGGAGGCTCTCGACAGTTCGACCGACCGCCTACGCGACAGTCGTCTGTCTCCTCGCGAGAATTCGTGGACGTCACGTGGCTCCGAGGTCGAGTATCAGAGCGGCAGCACGCGCAGCTCGGCTCTGTACAGCCAAGACGAGCCGAGCGACGATCGGCTCGTCCTGTCTACCTCGAAGACCACTACTCGCGCACCTTCAAAACCCAATTCATCGACGAGCGACGACGGAGGAGAGGACCAAAGCAGCTGCCCTTTCGACAGCGTTTCCACTGCCGACGCGGAATTCTCCAAGGCCGTCCGCGACCTGGAACTGGCCGCGGCCAGCTTGTGCGAGCATGGACGGGAGATCGAGGACCTGGGGAAGGCGAGGAGACGCGGGAAGAAGATCAGAGCGCGGGATGACGAGGACGGTTCGATTCGTAAAATTAGCCCCAGCCCTGATGTCCTGAGGCAGGAGAGGGAACGCGATCAGGAGGAGATCACCGTGGTCCCGGCCAGCGGGATCGAGACGACGCGTAGCGAAGCGCGAGCAGGTGACGACGAAGGTGAGCGCACATCGTGCGAGCTTGATGATGATAATGATGATGATGATGTTCGCGCGGGAACATCTCGACGCACGAACCCCGAAGACGCGAGTGTCACTAACATCACAACTGTCACGGTAACGACGTACTCCATGCTCCTGCTCGCTTGTCTCCTTGCATTGCTTTTAGCGATCGTAGCAGCATCGTGAAGGCGCTACACGGGGTATACATATATCGTGTACGCCGGGTATAAAGTCATGCTATATATAAATCATTGTGTGTGTGTGTGTGTTAAGATCTGTGTGATGCGTTGGACGCGAGCGCGTCGATTGACGATATTGTCTATTAATCTTGTGTTTATCAAGCAAATGTCCTTACTAATGTCGCAGGTCGCCAAGGCGCTCGCACGCTCGCAATGATCCCCGATCGCATTTCAAATGTCACGTGCTCGCTCGAACCTGACGGTCGACGATAGTAGTACGAGAGACGGGGAAGGTCGATTTTTTTTAATAATTAAATAGAAAAGAGAGAGAGAGAGTTTCGCTGCAGGCTGTTTGAGACACATCGACTTGTTGTTATTGCTCTTGTTATTGTTGTTGGTTTTAATAAAGTTTAAACGTTTAATCGTGCCAGAGTAATTTTCTCTACTGCGTGTAAATACAAATACCCTTGCTTATACGACATATTCATTCCGATTCTTTTTTGATATTTTTGTTTGTATTATGCAATTGTTTTTATTTTGAATATAATATTTTCTATAAAAATAAAATTTTTAAAAATGTGTTTAAAATGTGTTCATAAGAGAGTTAGAAAAAAGGTTGAATTACGAAATTGCGTTATTTTGTTTTACAAATACGCTATTATAAATCTTTCTTTTCCTGGCACTACTGCTAAGATGCACAATATTTATTGTATTTATTAAACATTCTAATTATTTAAAAAAGTATTAATATTTTTTTCACGATTTGAATGCATTCTATCATTTTACGATTACATTGACACGTGAAAAAAAGTATTTGTAATTTATATAATTTTTGTAAATATGTGTGTATGTTTGTGTTGGATTTTAATTAATTTTTAATTAACATTTAATCCCCTATGAGGACGCAATATTTAAAAATAAGGCAAGTGATCGACGTTTGGTATAATAGCTCGTCGTCGATAAATTATCTTTATCCCAATATTTAGATATCTGATAACACGTAGGCAACCATTTAAAGTTTTATAATCTTTGTCGCACTATTTGCAAAGAGGAAAAACACAGCAATACGCGATCGCAAAATTAAATTATGATAAACACATACAACGTATTCGCGTGCAAATGATTATTGTGTATACATATATATGCGCCTTGTCGGCGCATTGCGCAGTAATACTGAAGAAAAGCTCCGTCCTCTTCGATTTTTTCAAAATTATTACCTAAAATTAAAGTAAAAATTGATGACTCACCGGCGATGCGCAGCAGCGGAATGGTTAAACTGTAAAATATAAATACATCAAAATTATGTAATTTAAAATAATTAATATTTTGAAAAATAAAGTAATTATTTATATTAAATTTTTTATTTGCTTTATTAAATATGAGAATATTTAATAAAGCTTAAACAAAAAATAATAAATGATAGTAGATTGAAATAAATAATAAATAAATTATATTTACCATATAGGTGTTCCGCCGTTGCCCGATGCCACCCTGGGGATCCTGGGTCTCCTTTCTTCCTCTCTTTTTTCACCTTGGTCCTCCTTGTTCAAATGTAAACTGTAAATAAAATATATATAAATACATCAAAATTATATAGTGAAAATCTCAAAATAATTAATTATTCAAAATATAAAATTATTATTATTCACATTGAGTTTAATAGTATAATAATAGCAATAAATAGACTTCGGATTATATGCAAATTGCATATTTGTTACTTTTTGCACATTCTACGACAGCATTGATAATGTGAAAAAATTATAATAGTTTTAACTAATTAATGTTTATTAATTGAAAAAATTGTAATTTATTCACATTATTAATGTTCTTGTGGAATGTGCAAAAATAAGAAATATGCAATTTGCATATAATCCAAAATCTAGTAATAAATATTTACCGTATATGTAACATAGTTGCTCCGCCGTTGGCCTCCTCGTAGAAGCTTCGAAACACTTGCACTCGCGTTTTTTTTCGTTCGCGACGCCCGGCTTTTAAGTAATCATCACATTTTCGACGGGAGCTTATTCACGCGCGAATAAAACCGGTGCTCTGTTTTTCGCGTCGCCGCTTTTTCCAAGGCCCGCTTATCGGAGGGTCTTATATCGATGAACGACGATGACTTCCTCCGCGACGCACTCAGGAGTCGCCGATATTCCCAATGTGGATAAGTTATTAACGATAATAAAATGGCAGCCCGATTGTAATTGTAGTCGACGAATCGGTGCAACTTCACGCAATTTTGGACTTCCGGATTTCGGGCGAACGAATGTTGAGATTCGCGGATTCAAGATCAATCTTGCGTACGCGATCGCGATATCGATACGCGCGACGCGATCGGATTCATACGTTAATTAACGGCGTTAATTAAGACGCTAATGAACATTCACGCTCAGACTCTCGCGATCGGCGCGAATGTTGATCGTGAACAATACGAAATGAACTAGAGGGCAGCAGCAATCTGGATTATGTGGCGGGAAGGGGTCCTCGCCTCTGATTGGTGGACTAAATTTCGGTCCACCAATCAGAGGCGAGGACCCTTCGTCCTGATTAGTCGATCGAGCGCTCCACTCTAGATAAATAATACATCCCAGCAAACACCAAGTAACAATTATATAACTGTTAGTTATAATTTCCCACTCAACAATATAAATGCAATATAACACACGTGTTATATTGCATTTATATTGTTGAGTGGGAAATTATAACTAACAGTTACATAATTGTTACTTGGTGTTTGCTGGGATATATCTTCGAACGCAATCTAGATTGCTGCTGCCCTCTGGTGCATTGTTTACGATTAACATTCGCGCGTTTGTTGCCGGTCCGCGAAAGTGCGAGTATGAATATTAATTACGCCGTTAATCAGCGTACTTCACGTGGGCCATCGCGCGTTTCCGGTCGTATCTTCGCATTATCGTGTCCAAGTATCGTTTCGCGACGAGGGCTAATAATTTGCGTAAAAATCGTGGTCGACTACGATTACGATCGCGCCGCCATCATGCTGTTGTTACATGTCGACATCGCTTCGGGAAAATCGGCGACTTCCGAGTGCGTCGTGGGGGAAGTCGCCATTGTCGTTCGATGAGGCCCTTCGATAAGTGGGCCTTGAAAAAAGCGGCGTCGCGAAAAACAAAGAATCAGTTGTAAAAAGTAACGCGAGTGCAAGTGTTTCGAAGCTTCTGCGTAGGAAGGGACCCGGAATGACATCAGACACCGGAGCATCGGTGAGTCTGGTTAACTGTCAACTTAAATTTTGGGTAATAATTTTATGAAAATTATTTATTTGATTAAAATTATATTTATAAAAATTACGTGTTTTTGTGCGTTCCTAATAGGCACAACATATCCGAAAATTCAGAGGATGTTCTCTGAACGTCTTCGGGATGTGTGCTGTTAGGATTAATAATTTTACGAAAATTATTTATTTTGTAAAAATGATATTTATTAAAATTCCATATTTTTGTGCGTGAAACGCGAATTTGAAAGTAAAAACCCTTACTGTAACTTTTTTCCTCCTTAAGAGCGACAATTTGAATTTACCGATTCGTGTTTGACGCACAAAAATGAAGAATATTGCAAAGTGTCGGCAAAATCGGGAGAACGGAGCTGTCCTTCAGCATTACCCGTCGCGCATCAACGTAAAGTTAGTCGCACAAACGTCGCGCGCGAGTTTCGAGTTATCGATCGCGCGCGGGTCGGCGCGTGACGTCACCGCGGATCACGCCACATCCCCGCCCGTCGCGACACGCCGTCCGATTGGTCCACGCGCGGGCCGGCTTGTCTATATCGAGATCCGCGCACCGGCTGCTTCGCGAGTCGAGTCTGTTATACCATTACGCTCGAGTACGCGGTTGCGACGTGCGATGCAACGTGCGACACAGTGAGTTGCTCGTACGACAAACTATACGCGCATATAATAATACCACTGCATGAGCGTTAACGCGACGAGATTGAAAGCGAGACGGTTTTTACAGTGAGCGCCGTACTTTAAACAAGCATAAGGTATGTACGTTAGAAGGGTCCTGTGTTTTTTCGAAAGTTCAATTTTTATCGCCGCGATATTTCTCTCGAGGTTCCCTCGTTTTGCGCAACACTAAAATAATTACGAGAGCGGTGTTGTGTGATTTTTCATTTCACGTGTGTCCTCGTTACTTATATTAACAAGACATTAACGGTACGCACTGGGAAGATTCGCACGCGCTTTCGAAAGGTAAGAGTAGACAGTCGTTGGAGATTATTTACTCTATCGATGCGCGTATAGGATATGGAATGCGTAGAAAAAAAGAATCCTATATTGAGTATATATATATATATACTTATATATATATATGAGAACACAGAGATTTATTTATATACATTGATCTCTCTTGAAGTTTGATCTTTGAATTCACGAGTATGAATTGAATTTATGCGTATAAAAGAAATCGCTCATTCACACACGTATATATTTGTATATATTTCTTTACGTAAACACTGACAAGCACGTATATAAATATTCGTGATACGCGAATGTACAATATTTTCGGAACCTTCCGGGAACCTTGCCTTTGGGCGCCGTTTAACTAACACGTGTAGCTTTCTAAGTAACCGTAATGCGGCTCGCAAAATGATCCGAGCGATACAACTGAGAGAAGGAAGGAAAATTGAGTCAGCTATATTTGCCGCTGACTGACGGTGTGTGTTGATGCTGACGCAGGTAGAAATCTGGACTTATCACGTTTCTTTTTATTGATACATCATTTTTTTCCTACAAGTTTTTTTAAATCATTTATATTACGTAATATATTCCAACGAAGAGATCGATTCGTTTTTCTGTCCGTCGTTTTTTTTTATCCAATCTTTTACAAATGATTAAAAAATTATTTTGAATTTAAAGACTATCTAATATATATGCAAAGATAATATCTTTTATATTAATCTTTTTCATTTTAAACATACACAATTGTGATTAATGTTTAATTTTTTGCAAATTTATTACAAAATTATATTCTACATATTTTTCAAAGAGACTTTCTTAAATACGATAAAAATGTTTTTCTGTCAAAAAGCGAAGAATTATTTAGAATTTAAAGGCTACATATATATTTACAAAGATAATACTAAACTTTTATCTTAAACTCACCCAATTTCTATTTTAAATGTTTAAATTTTGTGTTAAAATATATTTACAAACACATAAAAATATGCAACTTCACTTATTTAAGGTTATTTCGTAATTTATATGCGTATTATTGATATTTCTGTTGTTTGCGAAGCGTTTTTCAGAATATTAGGTCAATTTCTTGCAGGCACGAGACGCGTGATTCCGTTGTTGTGTTTCGTGTTTCAATGTCACGTGTTTTCCATGTGTCGCGTTCGTGTGTGCTATGTAATCTGAAAGTATCTTAAGAGATTTAGATTCCTAAAGACGATAAGATATGTCTTTCGAGACATTTTTTGACGTTTGCGTTATTTGGAAAAATATTAAAATACAATAGAAAATGAATAGAATAAAAAGAAATCGAAGCGCGACGATGACAATCGGTCGACGTTCTTCGAAAATACGAATTCCATAAAGAATTTGCAATTTTAATTTTGAATTTTAAGAGCCAGTTTTCGGTTAACTTAATCAGTTGATTAAACTTGTGTTAAATTTAATAAATATCACATGTTCCAAAGTCCACAGAAACTTTTAATTTAACATAATACGAATATGTTCAATGGTGACACGAATGCTTTTAATACAAAACAAATGTAAACTTTGAGTAAACTTAAAAGTAATTTTGTGTAAAATTAACATAGTTTTAATGTAAAAATTGACTTAAAAAATATTAGTTTTACATTTATCGTTTCCACTTACACATTTTAAAATAAAATCAACATTTTTTCCTGTAAAAATTTTACATAGATAAATTTTAAATCACTAATAACATATATTGTAAAGTTAAAAATAGATGCACATTGTCTTATTTTTCCATTTTTTCAGTTTCGATTCAATTTAACATTTGAAGTCAATTAACACAACAGCAACATGCTAAATTAACACATTCATATGTTAAATATTTAACACAAAAATTTTGACGGGGATTATTTACAAGAAAACACAAATTTTCCAACCGTATACGGGATTGTGCTTTACAGTTGGTAATTCTTAAATTTAATCACTGGATCGAGATAATCGGAGATGATGGAATTGGCTTTAATTTAAATATCATCCGTTTGCGAAAAAAAATAAAAAAATAAAAACGAGGAAAGAGAGGGCGGAGGTGCGAAAGGGCGCGAGTAGTTCGTTATAAAGTTTGGAAACTCTTGACCGAGAAACGGCGCGTTTTCCATGCCGACAGGGTACGCTCGCGGCGTCCCATCGATCCCGCTCTCGCTAGTTTCAGGCGGCAAGATGGCCCCCTGGCTTTGATCTCGGAGTCGGTTTGTCTCCCGCGCTGGCGTTAGTGCGCGCATATGTACACGTCACATGCAAACTACATGCATGCGTGCATCCGGGATCGCAGTTACACGGGTCGCGCGTGACACGACGTTTTACCCGGAGAATCCGATCATCTGTGTCGCGATGACGTCGCGAACGAGTCGCTCGGACGGGTGTTGAGAGACCACGAACGAAGCACGGTCTCGCGTTCCTGAGTCTGACAGTAAGAGAAAGAGAGAGAGAGAGAGAATCACGAAGGAATTTTCTCTCTCGGGTTAGACACGTGGCACGGTGGTCCTTCGGCAACAAAGGCTCTTTCGACGACCGTGAGAAGCTGCGTACGCGAGAACGACGATGTAAGCAATGTTGAATTATTGTGTGTTAATTATGTGGAATGTAGAGAGCGATCCCGGAAGGGGAAGATACCTTGCCAGTGAATTTTGGAGCTAATTTCACGTGGGAAGTATCGCAGGTGTTGGATTCTCGGCGATTATCGAGATAGAATACGAGGGACTTTCGTGTTTGAGGTTAACGCGGAAGTGCGCAGCAGATTTCACACACTGGACGATTGATTATAATCTATTAAAAAGGAATTGTATGTTATAAATTGTGACTGAAATATATGTAGCTGCTGCTCTCTCATGTTCTCTGATAGCTGTATAAGCATGATCGTTGCAAATTGCTGGCGTCGTTATCGTCGTTTAAAACCATAACATTGAATTGAATATATATATATGAGAGAGGAAGAGAGAAACTGTAATTGTGCGATCTTCGCGAAGTAGCCAAACAGATGGTAATGTAAACAAATACTCATCGTGTTTTCGACATGTTCATAAAACTTCTCGATGATTTATCAAGACTGTTATATAACATTTACGTAACATAATTTTCAATTTAAATTAGCCGTCTCAAGTCCACTGGCAAAGTATCCGCATCTTTTCCTGAATCACACTCTCGTTATGTTATTACGAGAAACAAAGGATTAGTGTTGAGAGACAAGAGGACGAAAAAAAGTGATCCCTCCGAGACTCTTTTAACGCGATATTATTGTACACAAAGAGAATTTTCTTTTAGAATTTACCTTGAAAATCATGGTAATCGTGGGACATTATAATAAAAAAAAAAATAAATATCTGCCACAATAAGATATAAAATATGCTCGATTAATTGTACTATGTACATATTAATATATTTTTATTATGGTAATTAT